AATGATAAAACCTAATAATAATAATTCTAAAATGTTGATTTGTAAAATTTCAAAGTTTAATTAATTAACTAATAAAAGTACAAAATGCGATTCATGAATAATAATAAATTAATTACTATTAAATTCATCGTGATAGTCACAGTTTACAGTCTTTCATAGCTCACTGCTTACTGTCTTCACGGCAACAATTTTTGCAGCAAATTGGTATTTGTAAATCTGCCGATTATCTCGTTCTTGTCGATGTACTGTATTTCATAGCTTTTCTTCCATTGCTGACTACTAAGATTATTTAATCTTTCTTGGTTCATTGTGAATATGGTTCTGCTCTTTACTAGTTCAGTTTTGAAAAAAATCTTTCACATTTAGTATAGCCAATTTGGAACAGAAGCTAGAATTCTATATAAATGAAAGAGAAGCAGAAAGGTTTTTTCTTTTAATCTTTCCACCCTGTGGGCACTAGGAGAGCCTCTTATAGCAGGCCCATTATGGGTTCGGCCAGGCCCACAATGGGGAGACCGGGTGGTGAGGGACGAGGCCCGAGCGGACCACCCCCCGAAGAATTCCTGGGGATTCCTTGACTCGTCCGGATTCGATCCCGGGTCACCCAGAGCGGGAGGCTACCACTTTGACCGCTCGGCCAATCCTGTCGTGTAGTGGAAATGTTGATCTGAGCTAAATATTTGATTACAGTTAAGTAAAAGTCCTGTCACATGGGTTAGTGTCGTGCAATTCTGCGTCTTCCATTTCCGATTCAGATTCTTCACGCTATTATTGGTTTAGTTTGGATTATTCGTATACGGAAACATGATACATGGGGCGATCTGCCGAGAGTGATGCCGCCCAAGTCTTTTATAGGAAACTAGTCACTATTTATGTATTACTAATGTGAAGAAAACACGGAAAACTTTACGTGGCCAGCCCGTTGGTGAGGAGCGAACTCACGACCAACTATCAGTGTTTAGTGGTTTTATCCACTCGGCCACTGGTGGACAACTTATTCTTGGTGAGCAAAATCGGCGAATCCTACGGGTCCAGAGCCACAACATTGGGTGCTACTTGCCTGAAATTCCTCTCGCAACGGGATTTTAAATCTCAAACAAACAGAATTGAAATTTTCATATTCCTTGCATAGTTGATACTGGTTTAATGAATACAAATCGAAAACAGTTTTTAAAAATTTAGGTGGGAGGAGTTGACCTCATATTTCCCAAAAATATAATCAGATCAGAAGATTTTTGACAATTTTGCACTACTTGGTGTAACGAAATTCACTCCTCAATTAGTGAACAGACTATGTCGATTGTAGAAATAAAGATCTCTTTTCTGAAATGATCTATCATGTTAGCTTCAGTTTCGTCTTTAGAAAATTCTCCTGGCACGACTTTTTTTTTATAATGAATTAGCCTTCCTTCCCTCAGTTATGGTTCGCTTGATTTTCTTGATGACATACAACAACGCAACACATGGGATATCTCCCAGGAGAGATTACCTCCCGGAAGAACTTTCAATGGAAAATTTGCATCCAAGTGTTAGACACGTGAAGAAAGCTCGTAAAACTCCATTTGCCCAGTCCGTTAGTCAGGCTTAATGGTTGTTTTTTGTTAGTTGGTTTTAGGCCTTTTCCCGCTCAGAGCACTAAAAGGCCAGTGACTTAATAGTATAGAAATCTATATTTAAAACGAGCGATTATTTACTGTGACATCGCCGGGCAGCAATTTTTCGTCTCGGTGTTCTCAATTTTAGTAGTGTCTTACCCCTGTGCATCATACTTTTCATGTTAACAATATAGCGGGGCGGGTCATCTATCTGTGTTCAGGAGAAAATTTTTGAATTGAATAAATCGTATATACAGGTATACCTCGCCTTATGTCGGTAATTGGTTCCAGGAGAACGACGTAAGTCGAATTTACTTGTCTCCAAATCTACTTGTCACTAGACTAAACCGTAGATTACCATTCCCGGTTCTGTATTTTATTTATTAATGCATTTTTAATAATATATGGTTAATAAAAATCTATTTTAAGCTTACAAACAAATAAATTTTAGTTTTTAATATAGTACAAAAAAAGTAATCTAAATTTACGAATGCGTGTACTGTAAATACAGTACATACTTGTATATATTTTAATATGATTCTATGTGCTTTAAACGTTTTTCTAGTGATATTACGACTTCAATATTTGTGGGGGACAGACGTAAAGTCGAATAAAATGACTTAAACTTGATTTTTATTTTTCCATATACTTTTTTAACAAGCGACGTATAATCGGGAACGACGTAACTCGAAACCGACGTAAGTCGAGTTTTTATTTTTCCATATACTTTTTTAACAAGCGACGTATAATCGGGAACGACGTAACTCGAAACGACGTAAGTCGAGGTATGCCTGTAGTTAGTTAATCGGGGACTCCTGCCGCTAAGTTTTCCATATCTAGTTTCTCATTATCGCGTTTTTGCTTTCAGCTTATTTTATTAACTCTACTGAATGCGCTTTTTTTCTTTTATGTAGATCTACTAATGTCATAAGCGATTTGGATACACACTTAATACGAATTTCACGTAAGAACAGTTTTCTCGCAATCTCGTCTCGAGTCGAGATTTTATTTAAAGAATTGACAACAGGAAGTAATAAAATTTTGTAATAAGAAAACTAAAAAAAAATGCAGTGTTTCACATATCTGATGCCTAACACCTACAGAACAGTGCTCTACCAATCGTAGAGCTGAAATTTTGCGTACAAAATTTTCATATTACACTTTAAACAGTTTAAAGTGTCATATTTGAACCGGCGTCGGCATTTCATATTGAAATCCGGTGGATAATTTGTGTGGGGGCCACGAATTTGTTCACCCTCTTTGAAGCTTAGTAACTCCTGTGCTTTTTGTCGAAAATTTCTGAAATTTTGCAGGGAGGTTTGTTTATTAGGGGATTGATGCTATTAAATTTTGGTGAGTAAAGGTCGACGGGTGGTGAGATAAAGGGAGTCGTGTGTATCTCCAGTAAGGTCAGACTTAATGACGATTTTACTCGTTATTAGCATTTACAATGTTTTATAAAATTCCCTACCCTCAAAATTAAGTTTATTGCCATTTTAAATTAAAAAACCTTGTTATATGTTTAACTATCATAACAGATGGCGCCACTGAATGTCACTGGGAAAGTTAAGCGACTCGTTTTTGATTTTTTATACACCCTGTATGCTCTCGATTTTAGTAGTGTCTTGTCCCTGTACATGGTACTTTTCTTGATAACAGTGTCACATCGGTCATCTAGCTAACTCCGTTCTGGGAAAAATTTATGAATTAAAATCATGCGATTTCCGGTCCATATCTGAAGTTCCTATATAGCTAATTGGGGCCTCATGCCCCCAAGCTTTCCAATATGGTCTCGATTTTCATCTCTGTTCTCGAGATTACGGACAGCCAGCCGCCAGTAGGAATTTATAGATCAAGAATTTCAACCAAAAAACTAATAATTTTTAGTTTTTGATACAGTATTTGTAAAAGTTCTTATTTTGCAATAAAATGTATTACAGTAAAACCTGTGTTAAACCAGAATCACACAATACTGAATATTTTATGTTTTGGCCTCCCTTTTGAACAAGTGTTAGTATTTACCTACCCCATTTTTTAAAATCTTTAAACTATACCAGATAAATGTCACACAGTTACATTCGTTTTTATAGTAAAATCACTTATATAGGTAAACATTTTATTATAGGTTTAATCCAAATTAATTCCAAATAAAGATGGAAGTAAGTGAATGAAAAAATTGAGAACTATTTGTTTCAAACAAAAGTTCTCATTGTTCCCAAGAACGTGTACTAGGTATTCAAACAGAATTCTCTGATGTAATCTTTTCATTCACACCACAGCAAATAATGCAATTCATAAAACAAAATCTAGAGTGTCTCACTCTCTTAGGACTGCTGGATGGCTGAAACTATTAAAGTGCCAGCCTACTACTCTAAGCAATTTGGATTTAAATCTGAGTAACTTCTCCAGAAACTTTTTCATGAGCAGTAATGGTCCTGTCCCTCACAATTGGGTTGCACTTATTGTGGGTCTGGCTGATCTCATAATGGACATGGAAAGCTCTCTTAGTACCAACAGCATGGAGACTTAATTTCTAATGGCAGGGCAAGATATTTTTTTTATCACACTACAGTAATACAGAGACCATGTTATTTTTCATCTGACTTTTTGGAAAATTTTAATACTCCAATGAATTTTTAACTTCAATCTCTAATTACTAATAAAGTTTACTAATCAACTTGATCTTGAATACTCAGCACTAGTTAGTTACTATTCTGTGCAAGACAAATTGGCAGCACTATGTTAGCTTATTGTCATTATTTTCAACAAATTACACTCACTGATTGTTCTCAAGAAGTTGGGAAAAAAGCTGTTCATGGAAACTTTTAAGATTTGAATAAGTATTTGATCTAATCTTAATATTAATCTTTGATGGAATTAACCAAGTCCTAGTGTCTACGTTCCCTTATCAATGTGATCTTTGTTTCTCTGAAAAAGTTCAGACTTGTTCTTTGAATAATTTGTCATGTTTTGCAGTGATCATTATAGCTAGAGACAATTTTTGTCTAAAATGGAATTTTGCTTTATTCAGGTTGAATTACATTCTTCATATCCAAAAATCTTTTTCATTTCCACATTGGATTGGTTTTGGCTTATAATAAAATGTAACATAGAAAACTGACCAATTCTAAAGTTTCTTTTCCACTTAGGCAGGATTCTGTTTTATTCAGGTTTCATTGTATATAGTAATAAATATTCTGACTTTACTTTTTAAAAAGAAAAAATTCTTAACTGTTACATATTCAATAATAATTAACTACATATTCAATAAGTTAAGAACATATCATTAAATAAATTTATTATATCCATAAAAAGTTTTCAATACAATATTTTGTTTCAAAATAAATTTGAAAGACTATTTAAATAATTTTGTTATTTAATCTTAAAATGTTTATCACAACTTTATATTTCACACACAAAAAATATTTTCAAGTATTTTGTTAATGTTAAATAAATAAGTTTTTAAAGTGTAATTTTTTTCCAGCAATATAAATTATGTAAATCCTAACCATGCATTAAGTCTGTCATTAAAATTTTCCCACCTCTGACTTAAAGTTAAAGGATGCTTCAATTCCACTTCATCAGAAGGAATAGGATAGTTTTCATTTTGAATACAAAAATATGATTGTATCATAGATCGACATATAGGACATTTATCCAGTCTAGAAAAACAACGATGACATACGCAAGTGTGTCTACAAGGTAATAATGCTCTTGTAACTGGTAAAACTTGACATATCACACAACTAGAGTCAATCACTTCACACTGATTAGATGTGTTATATGTCATCTCTGAAGACATATATAGTTGCTGAAAGAGAAAATGTATATATTACTATAATATTGCAGATTATTTAACTATAAATAACTAATGTTAATAAATTTGTAGTTACATAACTATAAATTAACTTTTTAATGAGAAAGAGTAATTTATTGTCTTTTGAAAAGTCTGTCTATTCATATTATTGTATTTGTCATCACATTCTAATTAACAACTGCTGATAAATAACCTTCAGATATATTGTAAATTTAAAAATTTATGACTAGTATTAATTATTAATTAAGTAAAACCTGTGCTTAAATCCAGATTGAAAAATTTTGACAATTCATTTTTATTCTGGATTGGATTGATGGTATAAGGCAGTGATTCCTAAACAATAGCCTCTGGGTCAGTGACATAACCACCATTTGTATGACCTGTGCAATTGCACAGGGGTCCAAAGCATGTAGGAGTCCTTGTCCTCTCATGCTACTGCAATAGCCAAAATTGTTATTAAAAAATATTTGAGGAGTTAAATCAGCAAAAAAACACTAAATTGCATTACTTTTCATCAAAAAATTCAGAAGTGAGGAAACTAAACCTGTTCAAAGCAGTAGATATATTTGCTGCAATTAAATCCAGAAAAGTTTTAGGCAGTCAGTAGACCTATAGTGTACTAATAACAGTATAATACAGTAGACCCCCCTAAAATTACAGTTCCTATAATTACGATTCCTATAAAACTGCGAAAAAATTGCGACGGTATCCGTAAAAAACGGTAAAAAAACTCCTATAATTACATAAAACGTCATCGGGCAGCCGAACTACTTTCCTGCCGTCCGTAGCACCATGCTACGGACATTTAGGCGGGTAAATTGAGTTTAGTTTCATCTGTACATATAATTATATATTAACTTTGTATATATAATTATATATTGTAACTTTATTATAATTATATATATATTTTCCGCCGTGTAGCGCCATGCTACGGAGATTTTACGCTATCATCTGTACAGTATGTAAATTAGGTACCGTAAGTCTAATACAGCACTGTAATTTTATACATTTCTTGTGAAAGAAACATTTCTTATTCAATGGCGATAAAAATTATTTATATTAATGATGTCTCCAAAGTTCAACGAAGTTTTCGCATAAAAATAAGTTATCAGAAATTGGCCGCGGTTTGGTGTGCTGCTTTGCGACGAAAACAAGCTTGAGCAATGGCGATGTCGAATGGTGCACACTCGGTAAGTAATCCTACAATTTTTTGTTTATAGCGTAGTTTATACGGATTATTCCCAAAAAAAATATACGTATTTTGGAAATGTTGAGTCGGATTAGTCTAGAATCGATTAATTTTATGGAAGAAAACCTTTCAATCAGCCGTAGTTCGTAAACTTCACACGTGTCGGGCTGTGATTGGAAGGACTCGTAAGAAATCGGATTCCTAAAGAATGGAACGTATCTATGATCTTATAGGGGGGGTCAACTTTTACTGTTTTTAAAATGAATAAGCTTATCACTTTACAAGTTTATGTATATTAGGCTGTGCTGAAAAAAAATTACAGAAAGCAGTTTGGAAACGTTATACAGGGACACACTCATTTTTAGCTATGCCACTGGCCCACAGCATATGGTAAACCAGCCTATGAATATATTTTGACACATTACTTATGATAGAAATAGGTCTACATTTTATTTACAAGGTGTTCTGTGAAGTTGTAGCAATATCTTTACAGCATGTTCTAGAAGTGTAGGGAGATACTATAAACATAGCCCTTCAAATGCATAGTTTCAGCAATAGAAGGAGTTAAGACTATTTACAAAAAATTAATTTTTTTGAGTCTTTTCTTATCCTGGGTACAATACATTGTCATTATGCAAATAATGTTTGGTTCTATATATATGTAAATTCTTTTTATTGTAAAAATGCTGAATGAACAATCCAATAACACACTCATTAGTCATCACTTTGGAATTACTGAGTTTTCATAACTTGACAAACCATAAATGAACTTCAGAGCACAAGTTTCTTATAGAACAATCCATGTCAGTAAGATTTATAGAGCAAAATGAAGACAAGAATGACACATTTAATAGTATCTGACTAAGAGTGAGCAACTGCTAAACATATAAGCATCTGGCTGCCAGTATAATAGTATGCCATTTATAAGGAGGAAAAAATGGTAACAACCTATAAACAATTTAATATTAGCTTGGATATTGTCTAGCTTACTAAGATCAGTATTTGTGGGTTAGGCAAAGGCTTATATTTAATTGGCTAATTTACATTTATGAATGAAGTTTTTACTTTACGCATGAAATTTCTAAGATTTTTTTTAATACTTTTGTGTTGTGGCTTAGACATGCGAAGTAACTTTATATGTATCAAGTGTACACAATTAAAAGGTTTTAATTCCAAATTTGCCTTAATGTAGTCCAATTCCCTTGAAAATATGACAATAATTTGTATAATTTTGGATAAAGTAAAATATGAATTACTGTTATATTTGCTTTAATTCACTGGAACAATAGATTAGTAGCAAAATGCATCAAAACTTTTGACTCAAATGCACAAACTGATTGGGTTTATACCAGGAGAAAAATAAAATTAGACTTAGCAAGATATTCAACTTAATGAAGATAGACATATTAAAAGTCTATTAGAGTATATAGGTCCTATTCAGACATAATACCAAAAATTAATGAATCAAAACAAAAATCTTACACTATCTAGATTTAATATAATATTAAACTATAGATGTAACACACTCAAATATACATATATTTGTTTATGCTGCAGATGTAACTACTGTGATGACATGCTAAGGACTAAAAATGCAACCACAGATAGAAACAATCAAAACAAATCATAAACCTACCTGACAAAGAAAAATAATACTGAACAGCAATTAAGTAGTATCTATCCAATATGACAAAAAAAATCATAAAACTGACACTGATGTATTATATCAGAGAAATATTCAAGAAAAACAAACATCCATGTAGCAGAAACTATATATATATATGTGTGTGTGTTGTGCAAGTTATTTTTTTTTGCAAATAACCTAGTTATTTGCAATTTTAAATTGCAATCACAAACTCATCTAACAACTTTTCTTTTGTCTAAACTTACCAAAAGCATTTTTAAAAACAGATGAAAAATCTTTTCATGCTGCAGTCATATTCACCTGCCATTGATTTTTTTGAAAACTATCAAAGACACACATGTATCTCTCACTTTTAGTTCACTCCTATTTTCTGCATGCCAATTCATTTTTAATTGATATTATTACACATTTAAATTTGTATCTTAGATGTTGATAAATTACTGATAAATTTCTTTTTCTATATCATAACTCTGAGATCTACTTAATACCTTCAATACATTCTGAAATATCAAATGGGATACTTAGAACAGTTAGTCAAATATGATGTATGTTTCGTGGTGAAGAATTTACCTAAGGGGAGGCAGTACATAATACAAATACAATGTGGGAGTGGGTTGAATCTGCAGTTAAGATTTAGGTTAGCAGTGATATGTCATCAGGTTAGCACTTTCATTTAACAGTGATATTTTCTATTAAGCCAGATAATTTGCTCAAAAGATGGTAAAAGATTACAAATGAACTTTATGCTAATGCTTTATGAATATAAAATGCAAAAATTTGTATCTTATTTATGCAGAATTTTTAAGAAACCTTGAAAATCTTAAAATAACAACAATACATTTAATTTAATAAAAATTATTCAAAGTTATTATACCTTCAAGGAACAAGTCTGTCCATTTGCTTGCTTAAGATATTGTGCAATTAAGCGAGACTCCATTCTGCATATAGAATCTTTGATATGCATTATGCTTATCATTCCAATCTGTAATAAAAATAAAAATAGAATATATTTTTTTATAGAAAAATATAATAAATACTATTAATATTTATAATTTTCTTGATTTTTAAATTGTAAAATTCAATTATGAATAAGCTGAGAGTTTAAGTTAAGAACTTAAAATTTTAAGGAGAATTCAAGAAATTTCCATTCACAAGCAATAAATGAAAAAGCAATGAAAATAAAAAAAAAACCGTTAGGGTGTTAGAGCAGTGGATAAGTGCCTTAACAGGCACTTATCCACTGCTTGACAAGATTAAAGATGTCTTTCTGGTAAAATTCCTGTGGTTGAAACTTTAACCAGTGCAAAACAAACTCTTTAACCACACCTTCTGATTCAAATACTCAACTTTTCATTGCTCTCTTTGTGAGTTCAAACACAGAAAAATAATATGGCAAGAGATCTGAACTATATGAAGGATGTATGTTTCCTATTGCATTGCATGCATGATGGAGCTTGTACTATGAACACAACATGATACCAGACCTCAGTTTGAGGTTGCTTTGCTTTAATGGCAGCACACAGATCGTCTAAAGTAGTGCAATAGTTCTGTGCATTTAAGCTCAGTGATTTAAATTCCAGTAGTAGTAGATCCTCAGATAACTCCCCTGCAGTTAGATTTGGATGCTCTGGTTATACACATCAACATTTTGATATCAGTGTTATTGCATTTAAACTTGATGTATTACAGCTAACAACAATGCTACTTTAAGCTAACACAAGACATGTAATCTAAGCATTCATAGTTAACTAGAATGTTCTTCAGGTGAAACTGCAGCACCACAAACTTTTTGAATCCTCTTCATACTTTTATCAGCTTCAATAACTAAGAGATTTAAAAAAATACATGGCTTTTTAAAAGAAATCTAGCATGAGATGACTTTGTAAGAACAGACTATGAAAAATTAGTTTTTTACATTGAATATTAATAAAATGGTTTTAGATCAGTATATACAATATTTTTAGTGTGGTCAAAATCTTTTTAAAATAAGAGCTTCATTAGTAAAAACTATAATAAACTTTACAAAAAGTGTTTAAAATGAAATCCTCTATGTTCCACATGCAACTTACAATAGTCTAATACTTTGTATAAAATATTCAGTTGTTCAATTTTTGGTGAACCTCATCAGAATAAGTCATTCATTGCTCCTGTTTCTACAAATTTTGTAAATTACTTGTTACATAATTTACAAATTAATATTGAACCAAGCTACAATAAGTTCAACTTGTTATCTCTAGTCATTCCTTGCAATTAAAGGTTATCATATAGCTATTAGTTTCTGATTAAAAGGACATTTCTATTAATTTCCAGTATTCACAAGAACTTAATGTAACCAGAATCCCTTAAAAATGCTAGATATCCTATATAAACCTATATTATAGTAAATACAGATTTATTTACAATAAAAACTATCAGGCTTTATACCCAATTTCAACTATGTTCATCTATCCATGAGAAAATTATATAGGAACTTATCCCTAAAAAATTGCTTCATTCTTTCACAAGTTTGTAATAATTACATCCTCCCCCTTTCCCTTCAACCATCTGAGATTAAATCTAAGATTAATTGTAAATGAGAGACCTAGGTCCATTTTTGAGAAAACTGGTATTCACAAAATAAATTTAAATCCTTTCTTAGTGCTATACACATCAATATTGTCACAGCAATTAAATGTTAGGATAGGAAAACATCAAAAATCTATAGCACTATGTAGAAAAGACACAACTTGTAAAATTGGTTATTGACTATTGAATATATTGATGACAACTATAAGCCTAATTGGAATAATACCACAATTATTAAAACTCTTCAGGACACTAAAAACATTGGACTATTTTTGGGAGACAGTTCAAATATGTTAATCCTATAAACCAGTGTTTTTCAATCTTTCTGATTATCCATAATTTTATCAGTCTGCAATTTTATGTGGACCAAGTAATTATACACGATTATGAATTATGTTTATTTATTAGGCTTATATATACTTACCCATATGTAAAAAAGAACTTATAGTAACTCTAGATTAGTATTTAAAAATCACTAATAATCAACTATACCAGCTTTAGTACGGTCAAATATTTTTCTGCAGACCGGCAGTTGAAAAAAACTATATATATCTATAAACCCACACTTTTGTTTATTGACTTTTGGAACAAGATAATTAACTTCTTATAATATGCATTTAATGAAATGTCACAATTAGTAGCATATTACAAATAATGCTATTGGTTGTATCTCTTTAAATGGTTGTTGATATCATTTGTATATTACAAGGGCAATCCAGAAAGTAACTTATATTTTAGAATTAAGAAAAAAAATTCAAGTGAAAGGAAACAATTTTTATTATACACATTTGAAAGCCACACTCAAACTATTTTTCAACATACGTCATACAAATTGAGGCACTTATCATGTGAGATAAGCAGTGGGTCAGGGGTTAATCTCGTACTGACCACTTAATCTGCACAGGCTGGTAAAGCCCGATCTCAAAGTCGTTGGATGGCTAGGAGGGCGAATCGGGTGGGGAGTGCTTCGGTAAGTTGACAGGTTTCCTCGGATAGACAGGAGACAGGTTTAACAAATAACAAAATAAAGGTTTACTCTATAACTAAAGTTAATTTACAGGAGTATACATAAGGAAGTTACTGATTATTGCTTAGATGAGGATAACACAAATCTATCTATAATGGCAATCTAACTATTCACTATGCCGCGTGAGGGAGTTTACAAAGACTCTAGAGGGAGAGAGTTATATTTTCGGTCAGGTATACCTTATGTTGGAGGACAGTATGCGACGATCATTCTGGACTATGGAAGCTGGCTGTCTGTCACAGGCTTATGTCTTCTACCGGCTTCTCCTCGGACAGGATCGGGATGGGAGACACTTGTAATCAGACCTTCCTGATGATTGCGCGGAGGGACGGTCGCACTGAGGGGACGATTGCCCTGAACTTCCTGTGACAATCATTTTTATATGATCGTCGTTGGCACTGAGCCAACAGGTTGTTCATTTGTTATGCTGACTAATTAGTATGCACACGTTGACTAATTAACAAATGGACGATGACTTGATTTTCTTCCTTCCTACCTTGTCGATGTGTAAGATTCAACATCTAATCTATTTCCATTATAACTTGCAATAATTTATTTTTTTATCCTCTAATGTAAAAATATGTTAAACTCAAAAATTTATGCCCTCAAAACCCTTGGGCTCACAATCATAATGGTGCACCAGTTTATTAATTCCATCATCATAGAATTTTTCTGCCTAAGACTTCAACCACTCATTCACGCTTGCTTGCAGTTCCACGTCATTGTCGAAGTGCTGCATTGCAAGCCACAACTTCATACATGGAAACAAATGGTAGTTGCTCGGCACAAGACCTGGACTTTATGGTGGATGATCAAAGATCTCCCATCTGAAACCATCCAAGATTTGTCGAGTGCAATTGGCCGTATGCAGACAGGTATTATAATAAAAAACAAAATTTTGGAACTCAATTTTCCCCAACATTTGCTTTGAATTGCCCTTCTAAACCTGTTTAATGTTTCACAATATCTCTCAGAGTTTATTGTTGAACCACGTTCGAGGAAATTCACCAGAAGCACATCCTTCCTGTCCCAAAAAAATGGTCACCATGAACTTTCTTGCTGAGAACATTTGCAAACATTTCCATGGTTTTGTGGAAGAACTTGTGTGTACCCAATCCATAGACCAGTTTTTTTTGTCTCACAATTTACATGTTTTATCCATGTCTCATCCCCAGTTATGACATGATTGAGAAGTGAGTCATCATCTCTGTGGTAGGCTTCCATAAATGTCAACGATGCTACCATGCACTGTTTTTTGTGGTCATCTGACAAGATTATCGGTATCTATCTGGCACAAAACTTATGGTAGCCTAGCTTGTGCATTACAATCTCATGCAACAAACTCTGTGAAATTTGTGGAAATTCAAACAAGAGCTCCGTAATTCTGAAGCGGCAATTTTCATGACTCTTTCCATTAATTTTCATCACCAGTTCATCAGTCAAAATATTCAGTTGGCCACTTTGTTTTTTATTGTAAACATTAGTGCAGCCATTTTTAAACATAATGCACCACTGCCTCACTCTGCCTTCATTCATTGTGAGGTGTATGGAAACAATGTAAAGTTGCCAATGAATTTCAATTGGTTTGTAATTTTTTTGCCAACAAAAACTTAATCACTGACTGCACTTCACAACTCGTGGAATTTTCAATTGCATCATACATTTTAAAAATTCACAGGACAAAGCAGAAGAAACACAAACCACACTAACACAGCTGAACATGTAATGAGTGAGGGGACACACTAACACCAATTGGTGGCTCTAGCCCAATCCCACACCCCTAGCAACCAAAACATAAGTTACTTTTTGGATTGCCCCCATTTATTAAAATGATATTTATATTGCATTTAGTCTATGTATTTGTTGTGCACATGAACAACTTCAAATTCACAATATTCTTCCACATGCAAGATTCTTTGTTATTTTCATTCTATTTACTTTTTCTGATGGTGGCAATCTGAATTTCATAGAAAAAATGTTTATTTAAAGTTATTATTAAAGAAATTTTGTTTGCTCTGCAGTATTTATTAACACCAAAAGAAAAAACTAATTAACAACTCAAAAAAAAATTTATGTTCCAAAAAGAACATAGTAGCTCTGAACATAATGCACCAAACAACTGAAATCAGTAATGATGAAAAGAAAAAAGCTTGGAATTATATTGTATTACAACAAAACAAAATGTGATGTTGATATAATGGATGTTTGTGTGTCAGAAGAGATGTTACACTACAAAAATAACTCAAAAGTGACCAACAGTACTACAGAACAGTGTGATCAATGTTGCAGCATTCAATGTTTATATTATTTTTAAAAAACCAATCCAGGTAATTTAGAGAAATCAATCATGCCAGAAGACTTCCTTATAAGACTTTCCAACGAGCTCATGTTGACATACATCCAAAAATGATCAAGAATATCACACTCAACAAAGCAAATCATGTCACTCATGAAATTGTTTAGAGTAAGAGCAGAACAAATTTCCTGACTGTACTGGTATTTTGAACATGATATATTATCTGCTCAACATCAAAAAGCCGAAAATACTCAACCGTGTGCTTGAAATGCATTTGTTTTATTTGTGCAGATTATTACACAGTTCTATGCCAAAAATTATAACATTATCAGATGTCAATATAAAAACACTTTTTTCTTTAAGTATGAATTTAAAAAAAGCAAACAGTTTAATGATAATTATCTAAAATTAAAATTTGTTGAAACTATATAGCTCAAAATAACTCAGTACACAATTAAGTCAGAATTACTTTAGTGTATCCAAGGGTTGATGATTTTTAAAATAACAGCATGAAAGTTCTCTAATCAATAATAGTTATCTTCAGGTAAAATAAGTGTAAGCTATAAACTGAATAATTTATGAAGAGATGATAAAATAAAAGTGCTATAGAGAGGCGAGAATAAAAAGTATCTATGACTATTTATATTTTGAAGAATTTAAACTATTCATATTTTGAACAGCAATAATCTCATTTTTGAATGAATAAGATTTTTATTTTAAAAATCTATAAAATAAACTAAAAACATTATTTATTCAAGAATGTTTTATATCAATAATTCATTTTTTATATATATATAAAATAAGCCAAATTTGCCCTAAATGATTATTTTATAAAATGTTTGAAAATACTGTATTTTTCACATTTAATACATATGAACAATTATCTTAAATACAATTAATTAGAAGATAAAATTAGGAAATTTTTCTATTATTATTTTATTTTAAAAAAATGTGTGAAATTTATATAATAATGTTTATGTAATTACCACAGTATTGGGATCTTCATCTTCACTTAATTCAGATTCTCTGACTAAAATCACCATTAGTGGATATTTTATGCGAGGAATTTCACCTAAATCATGTTCTGAAATTTCTTCAAATGGCGAAAGATGGATAACAAAATTCTGACAAATATCTAAACTATATCTGTTATGGATATATTCACAAAATAAAATTTTAGTTATATTAATATAATTTTGTGCGCACACTAATTCCATTCATCAGCTTATATAGACAAATCTCGGTTTTCAAACTAAATTCTTTCCTAAAAGTTGTTGTAAAACTGATTTGTTTTAAAACTGAAACAAAATTTTGCCTTAAGAAACAATATAAAATAGATTAATCCATTCCCTACCCCAAAACAAAGCCTTATTTCTTTACCTTTTTAGTTGTATTTCATGCATAAAAATATCTACACATGCAATATATTATTATTATTATTAGCCTATATATATGTTAAAAGCAAAATGTTCCATAACTGCCAACAGAAACCAAAACAAACACTTTACAAAGAAGTGCTATAAATAGAGACTCAATTCTGACTGTCCTGAATGAAATATAATCAAATCAATCAAAACACACTTACAAAAATATTAAATTCAATTGATTTGTTTTCAATTAAAATTAATTAATTAAGATCTTATTTTCAGTTTCGCGGTAAAAACCAGAGTTTTAATTATTATTTTATTATTTTTAGTTTTAATTAACTGGCTACCTAGTATTAATAAATATTAAATTAAACATTACTGTAATATTACAATAATAAATTAAATAACAAATTTATAATTTAAGTTACTGTAAGTATCTTTAAACACAAATTCACAGATATCAATTAACACGGTTTTTATTACTTAATTTGATTTAAATTCAGTTGCAACACATACTGAAAAAAATGAAAGTAGTATCTTACTCACAAGCACATTGAAATATAATTTAAATAACTACATCATCGATGGTTCGTGTTGCAATGTCTAATAACACAAAGCAATCTTGGTACTACTAACTTCTGAATCAGAAGTCCTGTCATCAATTGATCAGGCTGTTGACTTTCTTTAACACAGGAAGTATAGGGAGTTGACCATCTGTGGATGGCTCTTTCCAAGTAGCTTGTTTGGCAACCAAGTTATCATATGGCATTCAAAATTTTGATTGTAAACAGGGACATTCAAAACAAGGTTTGACTGTATATATTAATGTATATAAGCTGATTGTATTAAATTAGTGTATTATTAATATATTATTTTTTTTATATCTCACATACTATATATATTATAGAATTTAAGGTTCTCAATGTGACAAAATCTCAATTTATCAACACTGACTGTCTTTCTCATTACTGTAGCACTTCTGGATGAGGTTTCCATGCAATGCACATTGGCAAGAATAACTTGTTAGTTTATGTTACATTTACCTATAGATTTCATTGCCAATGTGTTCATCATTTATTTTTATTCCTTTAAATTTATATCTTGACATGAGGACTATTCTTTTTCAAATAAATTATTATTTCTTATTAATTCAATTAGAATTTTATAATTGAAAGAAGATCCATGCATATAACCATGTCAAAAGCCATCCACATTGAATTTTGTTTGATATCAACAAAAATGACACTTTTGAACTGATCAATATTTATATGTTTTTCACTTGCCATCAACATAAAAGTTGAGCTTGATTCAATTTTCCTTTCTATAATGGTTTGATGTTATGACGACAATTACAGCATTGTCATTTATTGTCATGAATTGTGTCATAATAAGAACCAGTCTTTACCATTAATTCAAAAAAAAATCAAATTATAATAAGTGATATTTACAAGTTACTAGCATAATATAGTTCAACTGAATTTTTTAAGAAAACAATTTTTTGTTCTATAGTAAATTTAAAATGTCATTAAAAATAACATAAATAAAACTAAATTCAATGTCATTTAAGAAATGATCTTAATTTTATCTCTAGGATAAACTGAAAAATATATTATTTATTTTAATGATCCATATAACAATTTTTAAAGTAATTAATAAATTAATAGTTTAAACATTTCAAATCAAAGGATACTGTTTAACTTCAGATCTTGAAATACAAGAAATATTTAAGTTATCTCCATTTATCAATGTTTCTTTTAAGATATTCCAAGGCAAAGATAAAAAGTAGCTATCAAATGTAACACCCCAAAATGCTTGTAACAAACATTTTACTTGTACAGATACATTCAAAGAAACATCTGTTTAAAAGAAAATTTGTAAATAGTTAAAATTTATCACATTTTCCAAATTTCTGTGCAAAAAACATTTATAAATATATTTTATATAAAAGTTAACAATATGTTTAGTATTAAAGACATATTGTTAATCATCATATTCATGATATTTTAATATTCCAAAATGACAAAGCACTTTGGTTAAATAATGTATTAGTTTTATGATACTGAGATGTTAAAACTAAACAAAATTTAAGACAAGTAAATTAGTATGAAAAAATTAGCAATCACCACTTTTGATAAAAATCTATTATTGTCAAGGAAAACACAAAACATGCATTGAAAAGGGAGAAAAAATAAATTACACCAAATTTTACAAAACATTTCAATAGATGCAAAATATGTCCAAATATAGAAACAAAGTTTGGAAGAAATTAAAGCAAGTGTTTGTGGTCCAGGAAAATTTACAGTAGAAAAATATTGCAATAACCACAAAAATGTCACAATAAAATGGAGTAGCATCTTGATTACACCTGTAGTTATTAATTGGGAAAATTTGCCAAAACACAGAGATCCTATGTTTTAAAAATGATATTGTAATGTTCAATAATTAAATGCCTAATTAAAAAGAACAAGAAAATCAAGCATCTGCAAATGAGAAGTCAATAATGCAGCAAAAACCTGCATCATTGACTTCTCAACTAAACAGCACCAGCCTTCTCTGAAACTGCTACTAAACCAGATAATTCTGCCCCAAGTTCAGTCCTTTGATTTAAAAGATTATTTTTAGCATCAATCTGGACAGGGACAGATGTCAACTTTCTTCAGCATAAACTTTAAAAGTAATAACATATCTTCAATTCTTTGTATTCATAAAAAGAGAAACACTTACTGTTACTGCAACTAATAAATAATGCATTATTGCTGAAATAACTCTACAGAGCAGAATATTTGCCACCATCCTAATGCCAACTTTACACCACTTGAATCTGCTATTCCATTTGGCCCCGAAGCAAGATACTTGGTCTCCCACAGACAATGTCTAAGGAAATGCTCCTTGCAGAAGCCAGTTTCTCCACTATTGTTTCATTTGTGAAAAGCAGCAATTCTCAGTTACACTTGCCAGATGATCTAAAACTGATGGTGCTCCCATAACTACACCATCCACTAGGAATATATCCAATTCTATTGAAGAACTAATTTGAAAGTCTCCATGGAGATCATAGCAAATCATGAGGAAAAAAGGAGCTTGAACCGCCAGACTGATTCATTACACTCTACCACTGCTTTGGTCATGGTAAAACCAAGTTATCATATGGCATTCAACCACTTTCAATCCAAAAATCTATGCTACAATAGTTACCTTCTACTTTTCCAGGAAGAAGCCAACAAACAATGGACAAGATACCTAATGCTTCAATCTCAACAGAACACTTTGCAGTCAGGATTGTCATCCTAAAATGGATATCTACTTAACAAGAAAACAAGCTCTTGCATTAAGGCTACATTCACATAACTTTTGTTACAGTATACTATTATAATGATTCAATTTTGTTATTCTTGTTAAGCTCTTATTGTGTCTAATTTATAAGGAGGACCAAAAAGTATTGTTGCTTTTGTACATATCAACATTTATGTAATGCTAATTAGACGATTGTGTATGCTGAAGTTGTGCAGCATACTTTTGCAAGTAAAAGTGACTTCTTTTCTTTTGTCTTACAGATCAATTTCATTTTTATAACATCCCTGTTTGAAAATTCAACATTGCATGTTATTCAAGTTTCAGAAAGGTAGTTATGCAACAAAAGCCACAAAAAACATTTGTGATGTTTATCCAGCCACATTAGATATCCATAAATGCCAAAGTGCTAGGTTCAGGTTAGGTAATTTTGATCTTTGATTTGCCTCATTCAGGAAGACCAGTGTCTCTTCATAATAATGTTTTACAGGCAGAAGTGAAAGCAAATCTTATCAAACAATTGAAGAGCTATCAGATAAGCTTAACATACCTTGGTTGACCATTCAAGAACATTTGAAGCAGATTGGTAAAGTTAACAGAAAAAATGTTTGGGTTCTACACTGTCAGAAGAAAACAAAGCTAATCGTTCAATCACCTGCAATTTATTGTTGCAACGACATAATACAGAAGCATTTCTTGATCGCATGGTGAGTGGAGATGAGAAATGGGTCCTTTATGACAATCCCAAATATAAAAGAGACAATGGTTCTCTCCCAATCAAACTCCAAAGCCAGGCTTACACCATAGAAAGGTACTGCTGTTTAGTGGAATACTCAGGGCATAATCCATTTTGAGATGCTAGAACCAGGTCAATCATAACTGCAGACTTTTATTGTCAACAATTAGATCAAGTAAACAAAGCTTAGATTGAAAAGTATCCAGCCCTTGTAAACAGAAAAGGCATCATTCTACAGCATGACAATGCAAGATTACACTGCAAGTAAGACTCTGGATAAAATCAAAGAATTGGGATGGAAGGTGTTACATCTCTCACGTTATTCACCTGACATTGCATCCTCAGATTACTATCTTTTCAGATCTTTGGGTGGTAAAAAATTTTGAAATGTGAAAGGAGTCAAAAATGGAATTTCCAATTTTTTTGACCAAAAGCCATCTTTGTTCTACAGATCTGGAGTTGAAAATTTGCCCACTAGATGACAAAAGATCATTGATAATGATGGTAATTGCATCAGTGACTCAAAATAAAAATATAAAATTATTTGTTTTAATTTGATTAAAAAATAACATTATTTTCCAGTTCCCCTTATATAAATTAGTATGTACAGTACAATACATATAGGAAAAAGCAGTACAGTGGTGCCTTGTACTTTGAATTTGATTCATTCCAGGAAGCCATTCAAACTCTGAATCAATTTTCCTATTAGATATAATGGAAAGTGAATTAATTCATTCCTAGACTCTAAACAATATCCATTTCAACAAATTAAAATGGCAAATACACATAATTTAAGGTAATAGTAACACAATCAAATGCCCTAATAATAAATTAAAATATGAAAACAGCAAACAAAATACATAAATACTGTATAATAACTGAAAATTGCATTTACTGATCACACACTATTCTTCTGCATGTTAAGTGGATCTGACAGGCAAATTTAACATGAATTTCTGTTATAATTAAATCACACATCTAAGACATTATTGTTAATGTAAAATTGTATTCTTTGTTTATAAAGCTTATTTTAATTTTTTAATTCATACTTTATTTGAATAAAATCAAATTAAAATGTCTTCAAATTAAAAAGAAAAAGCATATTAAGCATATTTTGCTTTATGAGTTTTGGAAAGGATATAATGCTGTACAAACAGTAAAAAAAACTTGTAATATGTACGGGGAAGATGTTCCTAAACTTTGAAGAAGTCAAGTGTGGTTTAAAAAGTTCTGTTCACGAAATTTTGAACTAAAGAATACAAAATGTGTGGGCACCCAAAAGCTGTCTACGAAGAAAAATTGCAAGAAGAAATTGTTAAAAATCAACAAACAACACACAATATATAATAAAACATACAAAAATAAAACACTGAAAACATACAAGTGTAATGCAAGAACGAGTACAAGAGATAACTTAGGTGCAAAGCAACTTGTTTTTATGCTTTCAGTGCAGTTTTTCACCGTGCATGCTGTTTGAACTCTGAAGCATTTGAAGTACAGTACAAGGTACCACTATATATTGTTACTATCTACAGCAGTGCTTCTCAATGTGGGGTCCACGCCCCACAGGGGGCAAATTGGATTGTTAAGGGGGGCAATTGTTAATGATGAAAATGCACTCGTCCAGCGTTTAAGTTAACCATATAGCTGCTGTATATGTTAGGGAGCATAAGAATTTTAGAAAGACTTAGGTGGGGCATAGCACAAAAAAGGTTGGGAAACGTTGATCTACAGTTTCAGGCATCCACCAGGGGTCAGTAAGATATCCCTGCAGATAAGGGAAGGTTACTGTATTCACTTCTTCCATTTTTACTATGGATATTGAAATTCATCAAATTTTTTTTTTCTGTAATTTAGTTAATTATGTAACATTTACTGTCTTCCATAAAGAATCAAAAATATTTAAAAATATATATTAATTATAATATTGACTAAACATTTTATAACAAAAATTTTTCATTATTATTAAAATTAAAATAAATATATATGATTTACCTGACAGAGAGAGATTTTGAATATCATGAAACTGAATGAAAAATGGATTATTAACACACACCATTGGTTTTGCACTTCTTAGATTTTGTACATATTTAACAGAAGTTTCGTAGAGATCTCCTCTAAATCTGTAAGAAAAATTTTGCATTAATTAATTAATTTATTTATTTATTACATCTATAATAAGAATGCCTAATGGCAGTAGATATCCTCCTCCTAAGTACAATTCTCTCAACAAATAATAAAATATGTTAAAGATACTTAAAATTCTATATTACATAAAATGTTAAAAGTACAAAACAGAAGCTATATAAAATTTTAACAAACATATAAATCAGTTTATATTGCTTATTTAAAATTTAAATTTAAGTACCAAAGAATTAGAGATATCTATCTAATAATGTGTAGCTCCTCTCTGAGCCCAAATAACAGTAACTACACATTGTAGCACAGTCTCTATAAGGTGCAAGTTTTTGCATAGGTATTTCAATTCAAACACATTCAATGGTTTCGCCATAATTCATTTGCATTTCTCTCAAACCATTGTTGTGCCACCTGTGCTGTGTGAGGAGCAGCATTATCTTGCTGGTACAAACCATTTCTCTCAGGGAACATAGCAAGCATAAAGGAATGGACAACATCTGCCACAAGATAAGTATAGGTCGCACCTGTCAAAGTCGACTGCAGTCTCACCATTATTCCCTGTTAAAGCCAATAAAATACAGGACAGAGCTGCCACTAGCTTGTATAATACAACACTTTACTGACATAATAGATTCATATTCATATGGAAAAATATTCATATAGTTGTTGCCACATGTGAACATGATTATCAGTTTGAACTGAAAACAAGATTCATATGGTCATGTAACATTGCACTTGTCATCCACTATCCAATTTCAATGTTCTTTGGTCCAGGTGAAGCACATGATGCATGGATGTTAGTAGTGATAATAGAGTGGTTTGGTGACTACCAAACCCCAAGTAATGCAGTGTATGTTGTACAGTGCATTAATTGATGGGTTCAACAGCACCTGTGTTGATCTCTGATGTGATTTGGTGTCTTTTGTTACATGGTTACTAACTTGATTAGCCATTGGCAGTCATGTTCTTGCATCAGCCATGGCACCCACACTGTGCACATGCTGCTGATGGCTGTCCGGAATTTAAGTATTCCAGGTAAATCCTCAAAACTGTTGCATGAGAAAATCCAAGAACATTGGCTACCTTGCTGACAGAGTGACCTATTGTTCTTGCTCCAACAATCTGTCCATGATCAAATGAAAATAAATCCTTTACACAGCCCATTGCTACTCTAACCAAGCTCATGCATAACCAATAAGTACTGTATTGTATCTATGGTGTCAAATGCAAATTTCCAGTTCAAAGCATTTCCCCTGTTGATAGAAGATAACATTGTATGTGCTGCTGCTGCCGCCTCTTAATTTTTTGGCACTTCAGTTTAGTTTAATTTACAGTAAATATACATGACTTATTACATAATTATCAAATATAAAATATCCAAAAACCAATCTAAACAGTAGAATTAAGAATAACATTTTATTACAATCTATATTAATTCATTGCAGAATTATAATAATTTAGTAGCCTAATTTCTTCCATTAGTTTTATAAATTTGGCATTACAAAGATGTCATTATCTGGTTTGAAATTTAATACTTTAGATTTAAAAGGACAATATTAATAATAATAATAGTGTACGGAATCCTATACATTATTTTTTACATTACATTATTTCAAAAATTTAAAACACTGTTTTTTCACCTCATAAGATGCACCATTGTCTTGGATGAATCACATTTTTGTCAATTTTTTGGGGAAAAATATTATTCACAGTATACATATATTTGGCTTATACAGGAGTCAACCTGACCTTTTTTTTTATAGCAATCACTAACCCATTCACCAAACACATTTTTTATTTTCTAAAATAAAGTTATTTGCCTGATTACTTTTTTTGCTTACTGTGACTTTTTATATCAACCTGAAATGAAAGGATGACAAACATGAAAAAAAAAAGCAGAATTTTTAAGACAGTTTCTCATGAAACTTTATTTTTGTTTATTAGCAATAAAATTGTATTGGACCAAGATCAATAATGTTCTGCAATACTCTTTTTTACAGTGTCTTTTTCTGCCACTATTTGCCACTCCAACTGCCAGACGAATACAATTTTCTCAAATTGCAAATTTTGCAACATGTAACATGACTGCTCCTTATAGGATGCATCTTAATTTTCAGATAAATTTTAGGTACAAAAAGTGCATATTATAAGAGGGGGGAAAAACAGTAATTTAAATAGTAATAGAAGGTGGTTAGATTCCTTTAATCCATAGAGTAATGCAAAAACTGAAAATACATAGAAATTTGCAAATTAATAAACTTTGAAAGAGAAAAACAAATAGTGCCATTATGCAGCAAAGAAAAATATGTACTGTACAGTACACTACAGAAAAGGGCATATTTTTGGCAGTATTAGCAATGTATTGTTTGAAATACAGAGTCAGATGATATATTATGGGAAGAGAATCAGATGATATTACTGGTAAAAGAAGATCAAGTACTTAAAGATGCTGGAATGTATAGAAAATTTAAAGTTAACGAAACAAAGTACGTGCATTAGCTACATAGAAAAAGAAGAGGTTCCCAATGGAAATATATGAGGTCCACAGACAAATTCAAAATATATAGTTATATTTGCATTTTGAATGGTTATTTATTTACTTTAAATTTAGTCTGCATAATTTTGAAAACCTGCTTTGATTAAATACTTTGAATTATGAATGTTCCAAATTCTGACAACAACATAACTTTTAAATTCATATTTTCATTTGTATGTATTCCAGTTCCATTCTAATGAGTTGAGTTAAACTGTTTAAAAAGCATTGTTAAGCCTGAAGATATTTAAAATGTTCAAAAACATTAGCAATAATAAAATAAATGCTAGAGAAATTAAGATTATACAAATTTATACTATACATTTATCAGTTATTGTTGATGTCAAGCCACATTTTCTAAAGTTCATTAAAGAACACTTTATCAGACAAAAAACTAGCACAAGTAAACTGGAACTTATATAATAAACACAACAATTAACGCCTAAATGCTAATTCCAGCACTGAATGAACAGAAAATTTTAATGCTCGAAGGTTTTCGGCCGTCTTTTAGAGGCCCTCTTCAGGATGAAACACAGAAAAAAACAGTTCTATCATTTGAAAACTTCGAATACAGCTGTGTTCCAAATTTTTAAATATTTAAACGATGTATCGTACGATATAAAATTTGTTACGTTTACAACATCAAAATAATTATTTTAAAATAAAGCTATACATAAATTACTATTTCTAAATATTTAAATGATGTACTGTATGATGTAAAAATCGTTACGTTTACAACATAAAAATAATTATTTTAAAATAAAGCTATACATAAATTATTATATGCTGTAAAAATTAGCGCTATCGTTTACATCATGCTAATTTTTACAATGCTATAATAATTTATGTATAGCTTTATTTTAAAATAATTATTTTTATGTTGTAAGCGTAATGAATTTTATATCGTATGATACATCGTTTAAATATTTAAAAATTCGGAACACGGCTATATTCTAAGTTTTCAAATGATAGAACTGTTTTTTTCTGTGTTTCACCCTGAAGAGGGCCTCTAAAAGACACCGAAAACATTCGAGGATTAAAATTTTCTGTTCATTCAGTGCTGGAATTAGCATTTAGGTGTTAATTGTTGTGTTTAAGAACACTTTAGCCTAGTCCTTTAGCAGTTCATTACATTAGATCCACTGTGTATTAGATCCTGCAAGATATACATCAAATATTTGGCTAAAAAGAGAGAAGAACCCTGAACCAGAGTTCTTAAAAACAAACTATTAGAACTAGATATTTGCCAGTACAAGACTTTCTACATATTTGACAATGGTTAAAACCTTTTTGTTCATCAAACAAAAGAAAGGTTCTAGTCATCAAATAGATTACATAAAAGATTACATCACAATAACTTTTATAGCTGAAACTCTAGAACAACTATCTTTTAGTATTAATTTTCCAAAATAACTAAAAACATATGCAAGAATGTATAAAATAAATAAAATTTTGCTTTTATACAATTTTGTATTAAATGCTAAACACAAGCACTTACAAGTAATGAAGTACTAGTAAATATATCTGCTAATAATTTCATCATCTTCAGGCAAAGAGAACTAATTGGAAAACACCTGTAACAATCATTTTAAATATTAAAACAAGTAAATCTTTAAATATTAGAATTTAAATAGTTTACAATGTATGTTTTTTGAAAATTAGAACATGTGTTTTTTAAGTTAAAATTTTACATCTATTAAAAACCTTTCTTGTCTGCATTACTAATTTTACAAAATAAAAGTGATTAATTGGTTCTACTTATTTGGTTCTAGTATTACATGTTTGTTTATAACTTTAAATTTTTAAATTTGAAAAATTTTTAAATAATATAAAATGCATTTTATAAACTTTGGAAAGTTGTCTTATTAAATAATTAAAACTTAACTGCATAATAAAACTTAAAAATTTAGGGTTAGGGAAAGTTAGTAAGAAATGGAAGTGCCACTTCTGTAACTACAGAAATTGTAGTTATCTTAACTGCTACTACAAATCAATATTCACACTAGTGAAACTTTATGTTCCTTTTCCCTGACATCAGAAAAGATTATGATTCAAATAGCTAATGTACGATAGTTCAGAGGAAGAAAATGTAAACTATTTATTACTATCAGCTTTACTGTCTCTGATTCAAATGCACTATTCACCAAACTCCAAAATATAAAACTATTTATTATACAATTTATCATGAATAATAAAACAAAATTTCAACAAATGCATGATATTTTGCAACATCTTGGTACAGTATAAAAATAATAATACTAACCAAAATATTATTTTTTCAGTTCCAAAATTTTGATAGCGATAAGAAAGCTAATTATGTACATTAACTAGACAAACAGTAATAAATGACAAAAAAGCTTTAAATATAATTTATTAAAATTCAAGCATTTTCAAATTCACTCATCTTAATATATCTTAACGTAACATTGCACTTGTCATCCACTATCCAATTTCAATGTTCTTTGGTCCAGGTGAAGCACATGATGCATGGATGTTAGTAGTGATAATAGAGTGGTTTGGTGACTACCAAACCCCAAGTAATGCAGTGTATGTTGTACAGTGCATTAATTGATGGGTTCAACAGCACCTGTGTTGATCTCTGATGTGATTTGGTGTCTTTTGTTACATGGTTACTAACTTGATTAGCCACTGGCAGTCATGTTCTTGCATCAGCCATGGCACCCACACTGTGCACATGCTGCTGATGGCTGTCCGGAATTTAAGTATTCCAGGTAANGTATTTACAGTATATGCATTCGTAAATTTAGATTACTTTTTTCTGTATTGTATTAAAAACTAAAATTTATTTGTTTGTAAGCTTAAAATAGATCCTTATTAATTAAACATATATTATTAAAAATGCATTAATAAATAAAATACAGAACCGGAATTAGTAATTTATGGTTTAGCCTAGTGACAAGTACAAGTAGATTTGGAGACAAGTAAATTCGACTTACGTCGTTTTTCGACTTAAGGCCTTCTCCTGGAATCAATTACCGACGTAAAGCGAGGTATACCTGTATTGAGGGCAAAGCAGCACTGTAGTTATACCATTGCATACAAAGGCTGCACCCTGGTACTTTTTTAAGCCCTTGAACTTCATGAACAATTAAGTTGGCCTTTAGACAATGTACCTTGGTCAAAAAAAAAAATTCTTCTTGTAAAGTATTTTGCACTGATTATGAATATATAGGTTATTTTTGGCACATTTAATCTGTTTTGCAGATATTGCTCATACAAAACTCCAGATGGTAGAACCTCCATAGGCAGTGGCAATTCAAACTTTGAGTGCAAGTTAGCACTCTGGCACTTTTTAATTTATGACTATACCCCTGGGACAAAACAATTAAAATAACTAATATTAAACATTTAAGCACTGATTAAAACTGATAACAGTTGCATGTTAATTGAATATTATCAGTTGGTGATCAAAACTTGTAACTGTATTTCCTAAAATTTTACAAGAGGGTTAAAAAACATGGTTTTAAAAGAGCAATATTTTGAATACAAGGTTGCAAATTTTTGACATTGTCAGAGAGAGGGCGAAAAGGTACACCTTAATTATAAGGTTTTGGTAGCATGTGGAAATTGACTTTACAACCTCATTAATTAATTCAAAAATGTGGTTTTGACTCACTTAAATGGTGAGATAGGCAGTTTTGATTGCCAATTAATAATATAAAAAGAGCTTAAAAATGCTTATATAATATAATTTTCTCATTTCTTGCTTATGCTTATTTACCCAAAGATAATTTATTGTAATTGGAGTTTGCTTGTTAAGTTTTATAAGTGTACTTCAACTTGTATGTTTTGGGATATACTAATTTTGATAACATTAAAAGGCTAATAACAATATTAGTGATTACAATAAGTAATCTTACTGTATGCATAATTTCTAGACTGTTAGAGAGATTATAAAATTCTCTTGAAAAGACAGTTGAGAGAAATCTTTAATTGGACATTTTTGATGTATATGGTCAACTATAAAACAAGAAAAATTTTGAGAAAAATGTGTTGATTATATAAGAATAATTGTCAACAACAGTAACACTAAAAATCACTTTTTTCATTGAACAGTATACTTTGGCAACAAAACTTCAGACCTAAGCTGTAGTTTAGACCTGCTTTTCTTCTAGTCTAAATGAGTTTAGACACAATAGTAGTAAGCAATAACCAGCTACTAATACTTACCTAAAGGCAAGGACCAAGTAGCAGGAGGTAGTTTACGCTGTTATTTAGACTAGATCTAATTTCTATAATCAAATCCAGTGTTTTGAAAGAGTCATTCCTGGACAGGATCGACTATTTTCAGAGCAATAAATTATGAATGCAATATGAAAAAAGTGATGAGAAAAAGAAAACCTATAATCTTGGAAACATTTCTTCCTCCTCTTGATGGTTATGATGAGGATAATGAGACACCAGGAAAGCCAAAGCATTAACTGTTTTAGCCACCCTGCTATCTCAGCTTACTGCTCTAGGGATCCAGGAATTAATTTAAACAGATTTAAAACCCCAGGAATTTTTCCATTCCAGATATGTTGAGTCCATTCCTCATCATCCTTATGGGTCTAGTGATGATGGATACGATTAAAATCAAGCTGTCTTGGTGTCCATGGGCGTAAAGAGAGAAAAACAGAAAAAGCAAACTAATAGGAATGAAAATACTTTGGATAACAATTAGTACCAGCAACTTCTTACGAAAAAAGGAGTTTCTCCTTTTCTAGTTTTCAGATTTCTGAGCAGCTTGTGTTTTCTGAACAATTAAAAAAAAAACTAAAATTCTGTATAGTTCGGAAAATTTTCATAACGGTTGGCAACTCTACCCGAATCCACGATTTCTTCCACAGTTTTATTTGTTTAGAGCAGTGGTTCATAACCAGTGTTCTGCAAACCTATTTCAAGTGTTCCATGAAAGAAAAGATTTTAAAGTTTTTATTCAAATTTATTCCCATTGCTATATTTAAAGATAATTCCATGTTTCTATTTTATTCAATACATTAAAGTTTATTAATTTATTGCTCCATTGTTTTCTGAGAATAGTAAACACAGAATTGTTTATCAATTTTTGACTGTATTGATGCTAATGCTCAGTGTAATAAAAAGTATACGAATGATATTCTGCAGCCTTAGAAAGGTTGAGAACCACCGGTTTAGACATAATCTACTGAAGTTATAGTCTATCAATAGCATCTGATAGCAATAAAATTTCTCTCTCTGTTATCTGAGAAAAATTTTTATTTACAAGAATTTTATTAAATTATTAAAGTAAGATAAATTCAACATAAGAAATTATATTGATGTAATAATATGCATATGTTAACAAGGTTATATCACAAATAATTTCTCTCTCCATTAAAATTGAATCAAGGACTAGTTACAAAACAGATCAATCATCATCATGCATAACAGTCTTGGATAATGTTACATATTACATTCATGGAAAGAGATATACTTTATCACTTAATGACATGATCATAAAGCAATATATTTTGAATTTATCATCAATCTATATTAAATTGTATAAAACTTTAAATACCTGAAGAGGAAAGAGACCATTGTTATAAGTGAACATAATATAATAAGTACAACTAATCCATTTGATATTTCTGCAACAGAAACTAAAGACGAAACCATATTTATGGATTATACAAAGTAATTCGATTTATTTTCGCGCTTAAAAACGTATCCAATTCATCCGTACGTTCGCCATAGTCGATTCATCGACGAAAACAAACGTAGAAAACACAACACTTAAACGCAAAATTTGAATGATAGAAACACTACAGTGTAATCACGTGACTATCCGGAAATACAAATCATGTGATTTTTTAAATGATTTTGCTTTCGGAAAAAAATCTAGCATATAACTGCGTAATGGTTTAATATATTTACGTATCTTCTCAGTAAAATATATTTAATTTTAATAAAAAATTAGTAAATTTGATATGGGTATATAAAATGTGACGTCACATAACTTAACACAATTCTTTTTGTTTTCGGATTCAATTTCGCCACTAGCTTGTATAATACAACACTTTACTGACATAATAGATTCATATTCATATGGAAAAATATTCATATAGTTGTTGCCACATGTGAACATGAAACAGGAATTCCAGTTTTCAAGGACGGAATCACAAAGCGTGAAAAATTCCTTTGAAATAATTTTTACAAAAATAATTTAATTTGGGATATTTTTTTATTTTTAGTTCAGCAAATTAAGTATTAAATCACGGAAAAATTTAATAGAAAACATAAAACATCATCTACTCATTTCAAAAATATTTAAAAAAAAAATAAATAAATAAAAAACAAACAAAATTCGTCGTGACGTCAATGCTTTACGTGACGTAAAATTTTAAAATCTATATTTTGCACCGATTGGTCGTTACGCCATGTCGTCATAGGACGCTTATATCCCGCTAAATCGGAGAGGTTTTGAATAAGTTGCGTGAGAGAAGTTACCGATCGTTCGTAAACAAAAATCAGCAAATCGGAATCGCTTGAGAGATTTTCATTTTTCAGGTAATGCGTTTATTCAATAGAATGTCGAATTGTCATAGTTTTACCTCGTCTTTTAATGTAGATGTATTTTTATAGGAGATATTCAATTAGGCCTATTTCGTACGTTAAACCATGATATTGCATTTGATACGAAGGTAGAAATGTACACGATTTTCATACGTAATGGCGAATTTTAAACACTTTTAGCGTTAAGATTTATAATTCTTAGTAAATGTAGACAAATGTATTTATTTTACTGTAAAATTTTTACATTTTTATACGTGCTGTCAAAGCTGGATTGAAATTTCTTCCCGATAAAATAGCAGAAATAATAATTTAAATGCTGAAATCTTTTGATTACAATTATTGCATTTCGTATACTATAAAGTAATTATGTAGAATAAATGAACAAGTAATTATTTCTTGTGACATTTGTCACAATGCCGGGCTACAATTTCTAATTGCATTTTTAATTTATTTAATTTAAAATATATACTTTCCACCTCAAATTAGTAGTGCCTTGTCTCTGTACGTCATACTTTTCCTGTTAGCAATGGTCATGCCGGTCATCTATCTAACTCCTTTCGGAAGGAAATTTTCGAATTGAAATAACGTGACTTCCTGTTTGCGTCGGAAATTCGTATACGGTTAATGGAGCCTCCTGTTTGTAATCTTTCAATATCTGGTTTCTGCTTACATCTATATAACTCGATTCTCGAGATTAAGGAAAGACAGACAGACGACAGGGGGAATTTATAGGTCTGCAATTTTTTCAAATTGCAGTCCAATGAACAATTATATAAAATCTGTGAATAAATTATCTTAGTTTGCATTATGCCAAATGCATCAGAATGACAAACAAATCAGGCAAGTGATAGAAAAATGTATATCCCATCTATATGATGGGAGGGGAAAAAACTACATAAATACCTCCATAGGCACAGAGACCTTTATAATGTGGGAGTTCCGAACAGTTAGTAAAAGAACTACATGATGTTGGTGATGATGAATATATGACTGTCTTAGACTTTAGACCTTACACTTAATGTAAATTTGTCCTACCTTGTTGAGCTCCTGACATTGATCCCAATGATGTTTGTGTGGCTTTGTCTCAATGGTAAGGCCGGAGTAAGACAGCAGTCCAGATGATAATTTAACTCTTTATTTTAATCAACTGTGTGATATCTACAGATGAACTAGAGAGTTGCTGGACAGAATGATGTTAATATAGATGTTCACCATGCAAAAAGTGTCTCCTCATTTCTGTTAAAGAATGTACAGGTCAGAGGTCAAGTTGTGGTGCCCTCTGCCCTACAGTTCACTAGGATACTATAAAATCAGTGTGAATTTTTCTCTTTTCCTTCCATGACATGGAATAGATGACATTTTTTATGTTGGAATATAGCAGGGCTTTTTAAATTATGGGTTGTGACCCTATTTGGGGTTGCGAGATTTTAATGCAAAATATTGAAAATAATTTGAGTTTGAAAATGGCACACTTTGCATCATAGGTTTCATGAGTTGCGCTTTGTGTCACTTCTGGTGCTGCAAGACGACAATTCAGCAACACTGATTGTAGTGTGAACTAGTGTAGTGTTGTCGTTTTTTAGNACACACACACACACACACACACACACACACACACACACACACACGCGATTAAATTCTACATTTGGTTATGTTTATTAGGTTTTGGGATGGAGAGGATGGTTGATGTTGGCCACCCACAAAACCTGGGCTCCATAAATACAGCAGTAGCATATATTGTTTCTTGGTTTAACCATTGAGAACAATTTGTTAGTTTTTCTGTAAGATACTGATAATAATAATGCCACAAGTATGCTGCATAGGCAGTTTTACAAGAGGAAAAGTTATTGGAAGACTAGAAGCAGGCCAGTTGCAGATAAATGTCTAGGACTCCGAATGTTGCCCAGAGCATCATAGCCATTGGCCCAGAACCCCATATGAGTTTTCTGAGATGCTTTGATTGCAGACTTTATTTTCAAAGACAATAGTGCCACTGCTTATAGGGTTGCACTAGTTAATTACTTTCTAGACAATGAAGATATTTGTTGCATGAGATTGCCAGTAAGATCTCCGACCTAACTCCCACAGACATGTTGGAAAGCTCCAGAGCAGGAGTTCCCAACTTATATTTTGTGGAACTCTAGGGTTTCACAATAAAATCTGTTGAGTCTAGTGATGTATGAATGTGCCAATGCAAATTTGGGATGTAAGGTGTAATTATTCTAGTCCCAGATTGAATCCTCTTATGACATCATATACATGTGCTAGAGTTATTTATAGCTTTATAAACAGTGGGGACCAATTTATTGGTAACAAAACAAAATCATGATATAATATTTGACAAGATAATGAAAACCATAAAAATGGTAAAGCTTAACCTAAAGCTAGAAAATTATTTTAAAAATAACCTTAAAAAGTATCCAACATATAAATAATAAGACAATCATTAAATATGCTTTAATTAGTCAATATCTGCAGTGCAAGCATATTGAATCTAATGAAGGGAGTGGCCAGTTTGATGCCCGGTGGTACTGTACATACTATGAGACTAGTGACAGGAGCATTACGTGTTTCCAAGGTGTTAAACCCTTCACATTAATGACCAGTTTTGAATTAAATAATAATAATTGCTTTCCATTGTTAATTTTTTTTTTCCAATAAATTGTTTTTGGTGTTTCTATTTGCTGTTTTATTTATAAATTATTCAAGATTATTGGGGTTCCAACATATTTTACTAAGCATATTTTAAAATAAGCATATTGAATGCAATGTAAATTGGTGTACTTCTCTGAGGAAGGCCTATGATGTTAGGTCAAAAACATTTTGAATTATGAAATATACTACTGGAATTACAAGATTCACTGTTTCTTTTGTTTCTTATTCTCTAGTTAGATCTTATTTATTTATTGGGCTGCAATTTGAAAAAATTGTAGACCTATAAATTCTTGCTGTTGTCCATCCACTTGTCTTTCCTTAATCTCGTGAAAAGAGTCAGATAGATGAAAAATGAGACCAGCTATGGAAAGATTAGGGGAAAGATGCCCCAATTAACTATATACAAACTTCCAATGCAAACTGGAAGTCGTGTTATTTCATTTTAAAAATTTCCCCCAAAAGGTGTTAGATAGATGACTGGCATGACTCTATTGTTAAAGGAAAAGTATGATGTATAGGGGCAAGCCAGTACTAATTTGAGGTGGAGAGCATATATTTTAAATTAAACATTAAAAATATGATTAAAAATTGCAACCAGGCATTGTGACTCTGTCACAATAAATAATTGCTCATTTCTATTCTAAGTTACTCATAATAAAATATTATAAAATCAATAATATATTTGTCATATAGAAACCTTTTAGTACATAAAATAATTATAGCAGTTTTAACCCACAATAATCTTAACCATAGTCTTTCAATATTAAATTATTTAACGATTTTAATTTAATATTTTATTTTTACAACAACAAATGATTTCTTTTCAGTTTGCCTTTATTGTAAAACTGATACAAACAATGAACTTCTGTGTGGTAACATAATTAAAAAGAATGGAATTGAGATGCATTATTATTGTATGGTAAGATATCATGTTTTCTGTAACTCTTAAATTAAAAAAAAAAAATTATTATTATTATTATTAAATTAACTAATTAAAAATTTTTTACAGTTGTTTTCATGTGGTTTAGCTCAACAGGAAGACATAGAAGAAGGAATTATTGGTTTTAGACTTTCTGATATTCAACAAGAATATCGACGTGGGAGACGTCTGGTAAGGATAAAATAATAGCAACGAGGACAATAGTTTAAATTTTTAAAAGTTCTTAGAATATGTTTATTTTTAGAAATGCTCTTACTGCAAAAAGGTTGGTGGGACCATAGGGTGTTATCATAATACATGCAGAAAATCATTTCATTTACCATGTGGCTTGAAAAATAATTCTTTACATCAGTTTTTTGGAGTATTTAAGTAAGTTACTTTTAAAATTATGTATTAAATAAATGCATTTTGTTTTGTATATATAGATAAATAAATATACTGGAGCCAAAATTAAATACAATTACCTTTATTACACCACTGTATTTACTATGACATCGTGTAACTTTGTCGGTATTGTGATAGAATTGGTTTAGAGCCAGAAAGAAAGAAGTGATCCTTGCATCTGATGGTTGCAGACAAGCAAATCTTGTATTTGCTGCCACAAAAGGGGCTATCCTTGTACCTATATATGTGTCTAGAGCTTTAGCACTTTAGGCAAACTTAAATATAGCACCTTTTGGATAAGTCTTTTCATTAGTCTGTTACAAATTTAAAAATTATAAAATCAGTTTTTATTAATATATTATTATAAATTCATATTATATTTCATATAATTTTTCATACTTGTGTGACTGTTTTCTATGAATTTATTAACATAAAAAACCTTTTTAATATCCCAGTATGAACAAATTTATACAAAACGAACATTTTCGACCATAAACTTGGTCTTTATCAGGCTAATGGCCACTATAAATACTGGTCGAAAACGTTCGTTTTGTTTAAATTTATTCATAATGGGATATTAAAGTTTTTTTGTGTTGATTTATCTTCCCAGGAGTTGTGCAAGAGGTTGTTTTATGAATTTATTACTTTGCCCATGTAACAATTTTGGAATTTTGGCACCGTGCATATGTACCCATGCCCCTGCCTTTTAATGATCTTGCTTGTACCTGCTGGCCATGGGAGAGGCTTGTGTTTTGTTTCATTTTTTACACCTGTTTTCTGTTAAGTGCACACAATTCTGTTCCCCCTCTAAATTCTGTTAGAGCGCTCAGGGAACATGGACTTCCACTGTATATTGAAAACAAAGTTGTGGTCTCCTATTTTTTTACATTTAAATGGACCCTTATTACATTTTTTTTGCTTTCTCATCACAATTAATGGAAAATAGTAGTTACATAAAAATTGGCCCATCAAATTTTGAGAGAAAACTCAATTCTATAAACCCATAGATGATGTGCTAGTGACTTTGGGACATTGCCAGACAAAGACATACGATTCATGTGATGTTGCTTTTGTTGTACATGCTCATGCTAAAACCTTTTATCTCAAAAATGAAGTCGTGGTCCCCATTTTTTATATATATATAACAGTTTTGGATTTCTTATTGCAATAAATGGAAAACAGCAAAGTTTTATCAAAATTGATCTATCAAATTTTGAGATCAAACACAATATTGTAAGCCACATAGAGACTTCGCTAATGCTCCTCAAATATGAAGCTTTTGTATTAATTTTTGTTTGAAATTATTTAAGTTAAATTTACTTGATAGTAGAAAAAGTATGTGATTTAACAAAACAGTGGAAACAATTTATGAATTTTGACAGTTAATATTTTGTGGTATCTCCTAGCCTTGATAATGGCCATAACTTGTCTTGAAGTGAAGTAATCAGCTTTAAACACATTTTCAAGGTAATTTCATATCTTCAATAGCTTGTGCCAATGATTGCTTATCAGTTGGACATTTTTATTAATTTGTGTTTTAGTTCCCACTAAATATTTTCAATAGGGTTCAAGTCATGTTGTAAAGGCCATTTTAACACTGAAATGTTTTCTGACTCAGAAAAGCTTTAACACAGGCTCAATGGCAGAGAGCATTGTTGTCTTGAAGCAAAAAGTCATCTGAATCTCCAAAGTGATTATCCAATGTTGAAATAAAAAATATCTCAAGGACATACAAATACACTTTAACATTTACATATCTATGTATTATACAAAATTCTCATATTCTTGCAGATGAAATACAAGCCCGTATTGTTAAATGTTGTGGAAATTTGATTGTTGAATGTAAACAATCTGCATTGACTTTTTCATATGGTCTGCATCAAACAAATTGCCATTAATGCCTGTTCCCAAATTTATTCTGGAATTAATCACTGAAACTACTTTTTACCAGTCATAAATGGATCAATTTTTGTGTTCTTTATCTCAAGTTAGATGTTTTTGATATATATGAATGCATTTTAGCTTTGATTTGTTGAATGAATAATTTTTTTAATTTAAATCTGTTTATTACTGTGTGATCTCTTACATTAACTCCTTGCCTTTTCCATTCTGTATTTATTTGTTTTGAAGTTGCTTTATTATTTCTATAATATATTTTCACTAATTGTTTATCCTGCTTTGTTGTTGTTGTTGTTGCTTGAGAACTACAAGGTTGGTATTTTTCTGTTCCTTTCAGTCTGTTTCTTCCAAACATTTTGATACTGCACTAATGGCAACATCTTTTTGCAATTTGCTTCTTTTAATAAATGAATTATCCAGTATTTCGTCTTCAGACAACTCGCATTTAGGAGCCATTTTTATTCATTACATTGAATAAACTTATATAAATGACACAATACAAATGAGCTTATACTATTACCATTTAATTGCACATATTCTTTATATATCTAATAAGATTTTTATGAATATCTGACAAAAATCACATACCTTTTTTTAAGGGCATGGAACTAATGATATGAAATATATGTTTTCTAATAACACCTATAAAAGTTGTTGTCAATGGTGGTTGTTTACTACAGGTAATTGTATTTAATTTTGGTTTTAGTATATACTAGATAACCAGTTAATTAAAACTAAAAATAATAAAATAATAATTTAAACTTTGGCTTTTTAGATAAAAACCAAAACTAGAATTAAAATTAAAATCAAATCAGTTATAACATAATACTTCAGAACAAGTGGATAAAGTACTTGTTGTCTGTCTTGATTGATTTGGTTATATTTCATGCAGGCAGTTGGTTGAGTCTGTATTTATAGCACTTCTTTGTAATGTGTTAGTTTTGATTGATGGTGACAGAACATGTGTGTAATACAACAATTTAATTTCCAGATCATATTGTGAAAAGCATCGACCTGTGCAACCAGTTCCTCCTGAAGAACAAAGTGATAAACTAACATTATGTCCTATTTGTCTTGATAACGTTGAAAGTAAAGTAACTTATAATACTTTGCGGGCAAATTGCTGTAAAACTAGTTGGTTTCATCGAAGTTGTCTTCAAGTAAAATTTATTTCTCACATTAAAATAGAACTATTACTTATTTATATGTGTTAATTTGTTTGTTTATATTTTTCAGAAACAAGCATTAAGTGCAGGATATTTCTTCAGATGTCCACTATGCAATAACTGTGATGAATTTAAATCTGAAATGAAAACTTATGGAATTTATATACCAGAAAAGTAATATTTGGAATAATTTCTCTTTTGAGAATTTATAAATGTAAAGATAGTTATTTAAATTTCTTGTTTCTGTAGAGATGCAGCTTGGGAATTGGAACAAAATGCTTATAGAGAATTGTTATTTAGATATTCACAATGTGATGCTTCATTGTGTCTTTGTCCAAAGGGGAGAAAATTTAAAAGTAAAAAGTCAGTAGGTTTTTGTTCTTCTTTTTTCCTTTATTTAATACAATGAAATTCTAAATAAAATAAAAAATTTTTTCCTCTTCAGTCAGTGGAATGTCATTTTATGTAATACTTGTGGTTCAAAAGGATGTCATAGAAGATGTGGAATGATAAATGATTCCGTCATGGAATGGGAATGTGACGACTGTCAGTCAGTGAGGACTCTAGGTAATTTTTTCATAAATTTAGCAATCATAATTTTTCTTATTTAAAGTATATTAAAGCATATTCTATTTTTTAAAAGTTTAAATAATGTCCAGATTTTAAAAATGTTCTATAAGTTTATTATTATTTAAGGTGGTGGTATAAATGTAATACTTGATTGATACTAGTATAAAATGCTATGTTAGACTAAAGTTAAGACAAAGATACTCAAAATTTTTAAAACAATTATTTTTAGTAACTGCATAAACACAAATATGTACATCAAGTTGCATTTATCTAAGATTGTTGCTTTCTGTAGCACAATGTAAATATTGTGATTAAGATTTACAGTATTTCTAAATTTTTCCACAAGTGTCATATACCATATTTACTCGCATATAAGACAAGGTTTTTATCCATTTTTCACTGTATCAAAAACCTAGGTTGTCCTATATGTGCAAGCGAAAGATTCTCTTTGTTTTTGTATAATTTTTGTAAACTATGTATTTGCATTTTTTACCGGATTTTCACCTTCTGGTGTTTAAAAACAAAAGTATTTTATCTGTGTCGTTTGAATCATTCTTGTGTATTATCAGGAGTAAAGATGAACAGCAATAGGAAAAGCAAAGCTTTTGAATTGAATTCCAAAATCACACTGGAGCCCAATATATATTAATTCATTCCCATGTGAAAAACAGATGATTATTTGGAAATCAGAATTCAAAGAAACTCGTAAGTGTAAATGACGAATTAGACTGAATTAGACTGTTAAGAATTGGCAAAAAAGTTCCCAATTGTCCAGCTTTACATGAACAAATTATTTTGTTGATATACAAGGTTTTTCCTTGAAGTTTAAAATGCAGTAATTTTTGCGGGACNTAAACAAGAACAACTTCAAAAACTAGTAAAATGTATGCTTGATAGAGTATTTGAATTAATTAAATCAATTGGTGGACCTACAAAATATTGAGATATCACAAATCATTTTTTTATGCACCTGTGTTTATACTTTTGAAACAATCAAAAATTGAAAATCTGTGATAATTTTTTTTTGTAATTATCAGATAGCTCTAAAACTTTCATAAAGTGTTTAAATTGATGTTGTAAACAACATACTGATATAATAAATACATTACTATTGTTAATGTTTTTGTTATTGAAAGAAGTGGGTGTTTTTATAATTTTGAAACAAACTGTAGAATTTTTTAGAATAAAGACAAATGTGGCATCTAGTAGTTGTCCACACTCACTGTCATTCCTGAATAATTGGAGTTTTTCAACACAGTTGAATCAGAAGAAAATATTGCCTAGTTTATTAAAAAATATTATTTCAAAAATGAGATTTAATATTTCTTAAAATCTACTAACTCTGGAAAGTGAGGAAGCCACCAGTAAACTCACTCATCAAAAAGTCAAGCACCAAAGACTTTTGGACTTGCCTTGATAAGAGGTGGCAACATTTACATCCTGCTTTTTATCTAAAATGCTCAAAATTATCATTGTAAAAAAGTAGTGAATCTTAATTTAAATTTAAAGATTTTTTTATAGAGGTTTACTAGTGTTACCATCTGTTGTTAGTTTGCTCTTTTTTTTTTTAGGCTGCTACCTTAATCACTCACCGCCTGGTCAAAAAATGTTGTTGTTTATTATCTAGATTTTTTTTATTATTAATGACTTTTTTAACTGTAAAGATAATCTTATATTGAAATTTTAAGTAGTTTTGATTTTGTTTTAGTTCCTACATCTGAAAAGAGAAAACAAGAATCACAGGGTAGATTGGAATCTGAAAAAAAGAGAAAACTGATGAAATTTTCATCATTGCACAATAACAAAGAAAATTCATTAGATAAAAATAAGATGACAAAAAAATTAAATAATGCATTGCAACTTTGTATCGAAGAGACTGGATTGGATAACTCTCAAATGAATTTTCTTGAAAACCTTCAAAGGGCCACCAGAAATTCCTCCAGTAATGGAAATTGTTTGCCTCTGTTGTCAAACAATCAAATGAAGAGGAGACAAAATACTAGACGCAGACATTCAATTCAAGTGGAAAGGAATGGCCACAGCACAATAAAGAAGCCAACTCTCAGTCAAAATTCCAAGATCACCAGAGTAAAGTCTAAATCTTTCTCCCCAAAATGCTGTTCTGACTGTAAAAATTCAAAGAACTGCATAAAATATCTGATTGGTTGCCTTCAACCAATTTCTGTCCATAACAAAAGTTCTTCCAGTTGTTCCTTAAGTTAGACATTTGTAGATAAATTAAAATAAGACATCAACTACGAGACTTTTTTTTTTTAACTTTCAATGTTGATAGTTATAAAATGTATATGAAATTTGAAATTATTTTCCAAAACAGCTAGAAACTACTCATGTAAGAATACATTTTCAGTATTATGTTGAGGAAGTTTAAGTTTTATTTCATATACAATAATACTTACAAAAAACTGGGTGATTTTATAATTGTTAAAAAAGATGAAATTAAATATATTGTTATTGCATATTTTCATTACTAATTTAATCATCTAAAAACAGTATTGTCAATTATTATTCAATAATTGCTTGTTTAGAATAAACCCAGGAGGACATCAGAAAATTTGTTAATTTATATATCATAATAAACTTGCGTAATAATTTCCTCTTACTTTTTGAAAGTGTAAAATTTTTATAAAATATGAATTATTTTCTAAAGAATAATTATCATTCATTTAAAATTATTTTAAGTTATTAAATGAATAATCATAGATTTATTCATATTTAAGCTTTTGTTTTTCCTCTTTTATTTGTTATTTTGAAAGTGTATTTACTTTTTGAAAGTATATTAATTTTACAGAAAATATATTTATCATTTTTACAGTTTTTCATGTTATAATTTGTTAATCTAATTCAATAAGTGTATACTTATATACTTTATATATACATTACATACAAATGTAACAGAAATCAGTTTTTGTATGGATAATGTCTAACTGGATAATAAACAAAACTCAGCCCAAAATGCATGCACTATATGTAAAATATTAATTGTAGTATGTATTATTTTCATACAGAACTTTATTACCACTTTCAAGTGGAGGAAATGTATATCTAGAAATTTTAAATAAATAAATATTTGTGAATTATGATTTTTATTTTATTATTTTTCTACTTTAAAAATTTATCAAATTCTAATTCAGTTACAATTTGGTAAATTTACACAATATTTGTTTTCCATTATGAAATTATTTGTTATAAATACATTTAGATAATAAATTTCTCAATTTTCTATTTTTTTGCACTATTGTGAGACATAAAAATCAAGAATGGATTCTTCTAAAGTAGGATATATAAAATCCAAATTTCAAAAGGACTGAAGAATTTTATTGATTTACCAGTTTTTTATTATAATAGAAGATCAACTAATTTTTTAATAATAAAATCATTAAACAGTATGGTCTTGTTTTACATGGGAATGCATATATAGGTAGGTACACACAAAATTCTGCATAAATTTGAATTCAACCTCATTCACAAAAGATTCATTTAATAAAAGTACTTGTTTGTTTGAAAGTTAAAATAATAATAATAATAGAGTAAAATTATTCAGAATTTAAAATTGGTATGCTTGATTTTATCAAGTTTTTCAGTTTTTGTGTGATTTTTCTTTTTTTGTTTTCAATTATGAGCTCTGAATAATAGTTGGATTCAATATTTTTCTACTTAGAATTATCTATCTTAAATGACTTGCCACTAACTACAAGTGATTTCAATTGATCATAAATTATATTAATTTGTCATAAATTGTGCCTTGAATTATGCAATATATTTCACGTCAGCGTAATACAGAATGCTTTTTTTTTTTTAATACAGCAAAGCATCAAAAATTAAGATTTGGCATCAAAAAATGATTAAATATAATGTAACTTCAATTTGTCACTCGTTCAGAATTTGTAATTTTTTAATTTTGAAATTATAATTAGTGTATTTTTTGTTTTTTTAAGTATAGTGATTGGGCTGCGATTTGAAAAATTTATAGACAACTTTCCATTGTCGTCCGTCCTGTCTATCCTTAATCTTAAGAATGGAGTTAAAGCCAAGACTAGATATGGAAACCTTAGGGGCGGGAGAACCCGATTAACTATATAAGAACTTCTGCAGTGGCATAGCGTAGTGGGAGCGGCAAAATTTCACAATAAATAATAATATCTTGTGAAAATTTGAACCATTTCATTTCATATTTTTGTCTTACCTACGATTCGGATCAATTGAAATGAACACAGAATTTTTCATTACTTATTCTGTGACGAAACTGAATTTTAGTCTTTAAAATTGAGATACCTAAATAAGGGGGCGGTGAAATTTTCCTCCGCCCCGGGAGGCTGACACCCACGCTACGCCACTGAACTTCTGATGTAAGGGGCAAGCCACTATTAATTTTAAGATGGAGAACATATATTTTAAATTAAATTAATTAAAAATTGCATTGTGATGTCACAATAAATAATTGCTCGTTACACATCAAATGATCGTTTGCTCATTTCCATTATTATCTCATTATCATCATCTTTACACAATAAATAATTGCTTATTCTGTATATTATATTTTGAATCTCTATTATAAGTATTCTTATATTCCTTGTGAAATACTGGCTTGAACTTAGAACATCTAAACTTAAATTAGTATATTTGGAATTTACAGTACTTAAAATGCAAATTTACATGTGTATTTTGAAAATCCGGATGTAGTCCGGCCCAATTAGTCCAGATTTTGATGCTTCACTGGAGTTATAATTGAATAGTAATTAGAGCAGGATGAATCTTCAACTATAACATTGATAAAGAAATTCAAATACAAGTACCTCCAATATCACATCATATGTAGATAACACCTCTGGTTTAATTTGTGACAAGAAAAGCAATCTTGATTCTGAGCAGGTTTGAAAGCTTGTTTTCTTAAAAATCTGCAATAGTTGTAATTATTCTAAGAAATGAAACTTCAAACATTTTTTATTTTGACTTTCACAGTTGCTTTTCTTTAGGTATAACTGTGTTAGGATGTTCCCCCAAAGCCATGCACAGTCATGTTGCCCAAAAACTATGTCAAATGAGCTGGGGCTACTGAACCAAGAAGGGGTTTGGATAAAGAAGTTATTCCAGAAAGAGAAGAGGAAGAAGACAAGTATAAGAATAGGTACTTTAAACATTGGAACATTGAATGGTAAGAGTAGAGAGTTGGTCAATCTTATGCAAAGGAGAGTGAACATTTTGTGCCTGCAAGAGACAAGATGGAAAGGAAATAAAGTTTGGTGAAGGGTACAAGCTGTTTGTGAGTGGAATGAATAAGGGAGGAAGGATTGGAGTTGGTATCGTAATTGATGAAGTTCTAAAAGACAGAGTCTGTGAGGTTAAACGAAGGTGTGATAGAATTATGAGATAATGAAAATTCCACCAACATCCAATTTATGATTATGTGTGTATGCTCCTCAGCCAGGTAGTGGAGAAGAAGAAAAGACAAACTTTTGGACAGATCTTGACCAAGTTATAATGTGTGTTCCTATGAATGAGAGATTAATCTGTGGGGGCAATTTAAATGGTCATGTTGGGAAGAGGAAGAATGCAGAAAGAACAGTTCTTGGGAGGTGGAGTGAGGGAGAAAGACTAGTCGATCATGCTGTGCCTTTTGACTTTGCGCTAGTTAACACCTACTCTCAGAAGAAAGCGAACCAATTGGTTACATACGAGTGGAGGTAGATCCAGCCAGATTAATTTTTTTTTGTGCCGCAGGAGACATCTGAGAGAAGTGAGAAACAGTAAGGTGTTAAATGGAGGAAGTGTTGCTGCACAACAGTCCTCCTGGTGGATTTTGACTTTCTTATGGGCCATTGTAAGAATTGTGTTAGCCAGATTGAACAAAGGATCAAATGGTGGAGATTGAAAGAGGGGGAAATTAAGGAAAGAGTTTAAGGTAAAAGTGCTAAAAGAAATCCAGTTTCCAGATTATGTGCAAAAATGGTGGTTACTGAATAGTAATTACATCTTGAAAGTTGGAGAAGTTTTGGGAAAAACTCCAGGGAAGAGATCGCCAGAAGGAAAGGAACTTTGGTGGTGGAATGCTGAGGTACAAGCCACAGTTAAACAAAAGAAAGAGGCAAAGAAAAGGTGGGATTTGATGGGAAGACCTGAAGATAAAGAAACTTACCATTTGGCAAATAAATGACTAAAAAGATGGTGGCTATTGCGAAAGCAAAGGCTTTTGAAGAGGCTTGTAAAGTTTTCGAAAGGAAAGGTGGTGAAAGGCAGTTGATAAGAAATGCCAAAGCAGGAGATAAGACATCAAAAGATTTTACCTCTGTTAAACTGATTAAAGATGATAAAGGAGTGGTATTACAAGATTACGAAAGGGTCAAGGAAAGATGGGAAGAATATTTTAGGAATTTATTGAATGAAGAAAACCCCAGAACTTTATACGAAAATGGAGAGGCAAATGAAGGAGTGGTGCAAGGTATTAGCAGAGAAGTGGAAAATGTGCTTAGGAAAATGAAGATGGGAAAAGCAGTAGGCACTGATCGGATTCTGGTTGAGCTTGGAGAGGTTTGGGTAAGGAGGGAATTGATATCCTCTGGAACCTTATGAAGAAACTGTGGCAGCAGGCGAATATCCCAGATGAATGGAGGAACAGCATTCTGGTGCCAATCTTTAAAGGTAAAGGAGATGTACAGAATTGCAGAAATTACAGAGGTATAAAGTTATTGTTCCATACTATGAAAATTTGGGAGAAAACTGTAGAAAGAAGGATTAGACAGGAATCTGAGATTGGAGAGGAACAGTTTGGCTTTCTGCCAGGAAGGAGTATGACTGATGGAAGTATGGGAAGTTCTAAAACAGCTGATGGAAAGGCACAGGAAAATGCAGGAAGATTTACACGTGGTGATCACAGATCTAGAAAAGGCATATGATAGGGTACCAAGGCAAGAGGTATGGAGATATTTGAGGGAAAAGAATGTTCCAGAGAAATATATTAGGCTCATCAAGTAAATGTACAAGGGAGCAGAGACCCAAGTTAAGAGCAGTGTGGGCACTACAGAAGGGTTCTTCATTAATGTTGGTTTACATCAGGGATCGGCCCTTAGCCCTTATTTGTTGGACCTGATAATGGACGTGATGGTGTGTGATGTGAAATGTGAGGCTCCATGGAGTATGCTGTTTGCGGATATTGTGCTGTGTAAACATTCCCAAACCAAGGTTGAGAAGAAACTGGAAGATTGGAGGAAAGTTTTGGAAGAAAGGGGCATGAAGATTAGCAGAACTAAAACAGCTTATATGACTCTGAATGGTAGAGATGAATGTAATATTAAAATCCAAAATGTGTTGCTCCCTTTGATTCCGAGTTTTAAATATCTTGGGACATTTGTCGAGATGGGAGGATGATTGAACTCAGAGGTGCAGCATAGAATTCAATATGGATGGATGAACTGGAAGAAGCTGAGCAGTGTGTTATGCGAGAAGAAAGTTAGTTGGAATCTGAAAGGAAAATTTTATAAATCAGTTGTTAGACCTGCAATGTTATATGGAGCGGAGACATGGGCAATAACAAGAGCCCAAGAAAGAAAGATGGAGGTGGCGGAGATGAATGTTGAGATGGATGTGTGGAGTATCAAGGAAGGATAGAATAAGGAATGAATTTATTAGAGGTTCTGTTAAAGTAGGTCCCTTAAGCAAAAAGATGCAAGAATGCAGGTTGAGGTGGTTTGGCCACGTAGAACGAAGAAGCGACAATTATGTTGGAAAGAAGATCAGAAAACTGGTAATGAAAGGAAAGAGGAAGACCAAAGATGCATTGGAAAGATAAGGTGGAAGAAGACTTGAACCAGAAGGGACATAAGAGAGAAGAATCCCTTGATAGGGAGAAATGGAAGAAACATATTAGAGAAGGAAACGCTGACCCTATATAAACATAGGAAAAGGCGAGGTTAAAGAAGTAGCTTTTCTTTAGGCTATGGTTACTGTGGATGCGAATTCTGACAAAATTTTGTTCTGATGAGTATGTCCAAAATCCTCATCAGAACAAGGTGGGTACACTGTGCGCGTTTTCTGATAGTCGGTACGTTTCTGCCTCCCAACAAAATGGACAAACTTGATGAGTTTTATTTTCTTGAAAGTCCGTTTATTAAGTTATTGTTGATAGGTGGTGGGAAAACAGAGCATGTTAACCACTTATTTTCCATAAGAGACGATAAGGAAGAGTTCCAAATGTTATATCAAGATTTTTGGAACAACCCGGAAAGTTTTTCGAGTATTTCAGAATGAGAGATATCTCTGCCAAGAAATATCTCTGTTGTGATAGTTTTTGTCTTTCATGTCCCACAAACACCTATTCTTGAACACAAGACTAATCAATTTATCAATATCCATGCTGCAAAAACTAAAACACTCAAAATTCAATGTCAGAACACATGAAAAAATCAAACTTGTTTGAACGCTAGAATGGTTCTGACTACATCATGTATGTTCTGACATGCCCTTCACTGCCAAAGTAAACACTCTCATTGGAAAACAGATATTTGTTTGTTTGGACGAACTCGTCAGAATTCGCATCCACAGTAACCATAGCCTTAGGTACTCTTTATCTTAACTACAATTAATCAGTAATTGTTCTTAAACTGTTTTTAATTTACTTGATTTGTTTATTTAATATATTCAAATGAATAATTATGAATACTCTATATAAATTATTTAAAGTTTACATTTTGAAAAGCTATAATTGGAGAACTATATAGTGGAATGATTTCAAATTAAAGTGAAGATATGTTCAGTGATAGAATTTTATTTGGTGCAGAAAAAAAATTAGTTCTGAAAATTGCTATGGTGATATAGGGAAATGCAACATCTTATTAGTAATTGAAGAGGATCACAAAACGTACAAAACACATTGTGATTAGGTATAGGCATGTCCTGCATTGTGTGCTGAACCCCAAAACAGCATGCTCGACCATGGAACATAGATTTTCTTGAGATGTGGACATGACATATAACGCTGGTCTGCGAAGTTGGCTATTTGTTCAAAAATAAACAACTACTTTTATATGTCTCCATAACTACTAAGCTGTCACAGTGCAGTTGCAAGTCGTATTTAGGCTAATATTGAATTTGATCTAAAAATTTAGAGTTACTCATTTATTAGAAAATTTCAGTCTAGAAAGAAGAATGCTATAAAATTGATCTATGCTCAAGTTAATTTAAAAAACAAAAATTAATAATTTAATAAAGTAAAAATTGCATTACAAATACTAGTCGTATCTTGCTTGTTCGCCACATCCAATCACCTGGTACAAAATTAATAATTTAATAAATTGTTCATTTTAGATGAATTAGGAATGTCTGCATATCAGCAAGAACAAGTCGGTGTTTTAGTTCATGTCCTTTATAGTAATCCTAAAGTACTCTACAGTCCAAATAATACAGCTGCAGATAAAATAATAGAAAAAGTAAGTTATATTTTTCATTCAATATGTATTTTTAATTACTTCAAAATACTTGTTGTTAAATTTAATATTTTCTTATTTAGGCCAATGAAACTTTTGAGTTATTGGATATGGTAACACAGTATGCAAGAAAAATGTTAAATATATCAGAGGAAATAAAAGCTTTTTTAGCACAAAATAGTACCGAACATTCATTGTCAGTTTTACAAAAGGTATTTATACTAATTATTGAATGAAAAAAAAAATTATTTTTAATGAATGAAAAGTTTAAGTTTTGTTATTTTACCCAAAAAATTAAATATTTCTTTTTACAGATTAGAAAGAATTTGAGGAAACATCCATTATTACTAAAGGTTTTGAATAGTATTGCTTTACAGCAGTTTGCTGAAGGATCTGTGATTGTAGATAAAGATGTATTTTTACAGCAATTGGATACAATTGATAATGCAGCATGTAGTTGGATATCATTAATGTCTGGTCTCAATTTAAACATGTTTCAAGGTTTTCAGAATGAGGATGATCTCATGTCTTATGTTCATAAGGATGCATTTTTTGAAAATGTTACTGTATTAGCTAGTAAGTTATGCTTTTTTGAATGATTTTTGTTTCTTTTTTTAATAAAATTTTATTATTATTATTACATTTTATTTGAATAATTGAAAAAAATAGCAATAAACTGTATTTTGTTTAGAAATGGTAT